AGCCCGTGGTCCTTTGCTGTGATCTGTTAGAAGCATGACTCCACGAGATAGGATTCTTCTTGAATCTCTACATTATTCTGCAGACCAGCATCACCTCAGAGCCTTAACTTAAAGATCTGTGGTATGCGAAGGTGGCATATGAATAGGTGATGCTGGACTCTTTCTTCTTGCAGGAATCTTGTATCTCAGTCTAGAATTTTTCCTGGAGCCACCTACAAGACTAAAAGCACTATTCCTCACTCTGACCCTTGCCTTGCCCAACCTTATTCTATATAAGAATGTATCCTTCCTTATCCTAAGAGTCTGATCTCAGATGTCTCTTACAGTGACATTACTGATAAAGTAAAGTAAAAAGAGGAACAGGCAAGTAGTGTATGGTGGTTTCAGGGTCTACTGTTTTCTTACTTATGCCTCTGACTTCCTCATATATTGGTAAAAATTGATTATTCTCCAGACCTTAGAAAAACAGAAGCTCCAGACCACACAGGAAGTAGAATAAGAATTATGGAGTCCAGTGCCACAGGCACTGGGTCCTCAGAACAAGGAAGCAGTTCTGCATTATCTGTAACACATTGTCTGGAGCAGCAGAATAAGAGTATGCATTCCAGACGAGAGTCCCAGGCCTGTATCACAGAGTGATGAAACAGCACAAAGAGTTGTTCAGGGTGGGGGAAAGAGATAAAAAGGAGGTGAGCCCTGTTCCATCTTCTGACAGTCTAGGCAACTCCACTATACATCCAAAACCCACTCAATCCCTTCACTCTTCTCTGGACCCCCATCCCCCCCCATTTACATTCTCTTGTCATTTTAAACATTCTTTGACACAACTCTATGTAACCCAGACATGGGCTGGATCTAGCACTACTCTTAGAGTTAGACTTCAACCCTACAGCCTTAAAAGTCCAGAGATATTCTGTAAATATTTGTTAATTCCCAGGGATTCATACTCTTGGATCTACTGTGTTCTATTCTAGCTTCCCTGTACAATGTCTTATTTTTTATTAACTCAGCCCTCTGTAGATACTACAGTATCCCCCAAAGAGACCAAGTTCACACAAAATCCTGAGTGAGCTATTTTACCTTTATTAAGATTCCATATGGCTGACACTCAGGTAGAGAGATGGCATCTAACTCTTTGGGGAAATAGTCTGAAAACTTCATAGTAATTATCTTCTTTCAAGTCTCTCTGTCAGTGTGGGATAATGGCATTTACCTATGCAGTCTCTTCACTTTGATATCATGCTCTTGATGTTCCTGGTCCATCTCTCCCACAACATTTTATATTTTTCCATTTTCTTTTCTTTCCTTTTTCTTTTCAGTGCTGGGATTGAACCTATGGCCTGTCAACACACTAGGCAAGTGCTCTACTGCTGAGGTATACCCACATTCACTGTATTCTCCATTTTTTATGCATCAATTTTGCTTCCCCCAAATCCATTCCCAAACCTGTACAGTTAAATCCATTCTGATTTGGAGAAAAGTGAGTTTTCTCCATAACATAATCTAATCTTTTAAGAGAACAATTAGCTATATAAGGCAATATGGTATGATTTTGCTGTTTTGAGTTTAAAAAAACTACTTTATTGAGGTATGATTGTCACAAAAATAGCTGTAGGTATTTAATGTATAAAACTTGATGTGTTTGGAAATAAGTATGCATCCAGAAAGGTATTATCACAATGAATGTCATAAATGAATCCAGAACTTCCAGAAGTTTCTTCCCTCTCCCTTTGTTTTATTTTTAAAGTTTTGTTGACTTTGTTTTGACCTTTTTCAGTACAGGCATTTAATATAAGATATAACTTCTTTAGGGAAAAATTTGAGTGTAAAATACAGTAATGTTAATCACATTCCTATAATGTACAGGATATCTAGAACTTATTTATCTTGAATGATTGAAACTTTCTACTCTGAATAACACTTCTCCATTTCTCCCTCTCTCCAGATCCTTGCAACCATCATTCTACTTCTGCAATTTTGACTATTTTGGATTCCACATACAATCAAAATCATATAGTATTTGTCTTTCTTACTTTGCTTTTCCTAATGTATCCATATTAACCCATGTCACTGACAGGATTTACTTTCTTTCTAAGGATGAATAATATTCCTGTAGGTGTGTGTGTGTGTGCACATTATGTTTTCTTTATCCATTCATCCACTGAAGGACAGTTAAACTGCCTTGATGCCTTGGCTATTGTGGCAATGAATAGGGAAGTACAATTCTCTTTTCAAGATATTGACTTTATTTCCTCTGGGTATATACCTAGAAGTAGCATTGCCAGTTTTGCTATTCTATCTTTAATTATTTATTTTTTTGCACTACAGGGGTTTGAAGTTAGGGGCTCATGTTTGCAAGGCAGGCACTCTATCACTTGAGCCACTCTACCAACCCTTCTATCTTTAATTTTTTGAGAAATATTCATAATGTTTTTCATATTGCCTGTGTCAATTTACACTCCTATCAACAGGTTCCAATTTATTTCTCCACATCCTCTCTAACACTTGCTGCTGTCTGATACTATTTTGTTGTATTAAATCATACCTTGTAATTACCAAGAATGGTGAAAGATCTGAGATTTTTATCCTACTTGTAAGCTACAAGTTAGTCAGTTACAATTTCATAGATGCTGGAAAAAGACATGAGACTCCTGGGTCAGAGACAAAGGGCTTGATTACTAATTACAGCTAGTAGCTGATCTTAGCACAGGATCCCAGGGGATCTCTACATGTTATGAACTTGCCCTTTGTGTTTGTATAGGATGAAAACCATGGAGTCACTGGTTTAGATCATGATTTGCAAACACAAAACATCAGGAGAAGCTAACAATGGTGAAATAGTGATTACATGGTTTCATAATTAGCTATTGCAGGTATTATTTGAAATCTTTTTTGTTTGTTTGAGATGAGTCTGTTGTTCCATTAGACAAACATATTCATAGGTAAAATGATACTAACTAGAATGTTCAGCACAGGATGTTGGAGTGGGTTAAGAACATGGGAGTTTTACTTTAAGCTCTGAACACCTGGAATTCCTGGGGCTGATCATGATGATCTGGAAGATACTCCAGGGACAGCTGGTACCAATGGACAGACCTCTGATTGCTCTATGAATATTGAACATAGACAACAAATTCTTAAATGAACTTAAGTTTATATCAAGTTAGGGGCATGACCATGCAGAAAAAGAACTTTTTAAAGTGACTTTAAAACATGTTACTTGGTGCTGGGCATGGCGACTCATGCCTTTAATTCTAGCTACTCAGGAAGTGGTGATCTGGAGGATTTCAGTTCAAGGCTGGTCTAGGCAAAAAAGTTGGGGAGATCCCATCTCAACCAATAAAAGCTAGGCACAGGCTGGAGTTCTGGCTCAAGTGGTAGAGCATCTGCCTAGCCCAAAAAAAAAAAAAAAAGTGGGTGTGGTGGCATGCACCTGTCGTTCTAGCTATGCAGGAAATGAAAATAGGATTGCCATCCAGGCCTGCTGGTAAGTGCAAAAATAACAAAAGCACAAAGGGGGCGGGGGAGGTGCCTCAAGTGGTAGAGTGCTTGCCTACCAAGCTCAAGGTCCTGAGTTGAAATCCCAACACCGTGAGAAAAAAACAAAAAACAAACCCATCCACAGTATTTTGTCTACACATCCCAAGTGGGAAATTTCTGAAGGGCAGAAGGAAACACACACAAACGTTAAAATACAATTGGTACACTGATTAGAAATTCTTAGTCAAGAGGGCGAAACAGGTTCTGGTGTGGGGAGGAGGGGTTTAGCATTGGTGGGAGGGGGGAGGCAGCGGGAAAGAATAGGAGGATGAATACAGTGTAAATAATGTATACACATGTATGTAAATGCAAAAATGATACCTGTTGAAACTGTTCCAGGAATCAGGGGAGGGGCAAGGTAGAAGAGCAGTGGAGGGGTGAATTCAAATATGATATATTTGGTACATTGTAAGAACCCTTGTAAATGCTACAATGTAACTCCACTCTGCACAAAAATAATAATAAAAGACATTCCATTAGCTATTTTGATAGTATTACATATCTCATATATTTTCCTATTATATAGAAATGTAGTTATATATTTCTCTCAACATTTTATAAAACAATATTAATATTTAGTGTTTTCAAATGTAATGATATCCTAAAACGTAAGTACATTATATATTTATATACATCTGCACATAAATACATACCCCAGAATTCTGATAAACGATTATGGCAATGTCACTAAAAATTAAGCTTTTTCAACACAAGAGAAAAAGGGAGTAAGTGAAAATCCTAGGTTGGAATCGTTGTAATCAATATAAATTCATGACTGGAAATGTCAATCTGAACTCACGATTTCTGAAAATGCACACTTTCTCGCGCCATCCCCTGAAAAACCAATGGCAACCTAGTAGCAACAAACACACCCTGGCCCTATTTGTGGTCGCTAAATAGCATTCCTTGCTCAAAGGAACCGGGCTTCTTGAAAAAAAATTTCTGATCTAGGGCAGTTCAAGAAGAGCCTAGGATGTGTGGTTTTGTCTGAAAGAAGGGAGGCAGCAGGCAGGGGGCTAATTTCTGAACAGAAATCTGACAAGTGAATAAAGGAGGTGCTGCACTCCAAACCTTGTTGGCAACGAAACAGCTGCTCGGGTAGCTCCAATTTCTCAGGACTGAAGATGGGTAAAGGGACGGTTGGGGGATGTCCCTACACTGGGTTTTGAACACACCAGACGCTCCTTCTGTGGGCCTCGGCATATATCAAAGACTCAATGCCTCCTCCTTCCGCACAAAGGCGGCGGGAATCGGCCCGACAGTCAACAGAAACCCAGCTTGATAAGCCAAACCCCGCAGACCTGTCGGGTCCCACTGACATCATACATTACGATGCACATGCGCAGAAGCCTTCTCTCAACTTGCCGAAGGGCAGGCTTCGCTTCCTCCCACTCCCAACCTTGATTGGTCAGCAACAGCTGCTCGTCTCAGCCGTTGTTAGTGGCGACGTAGGTGGATACAATTTTGGTCGCTAAGATACTCAGCATTTCCGCTTCCTTTCCCTCTAGTCTAGGTTCGGGCAAGCCAGTCACGTTCTTTCCGCCAATGATAAATGGGCAGTGGGCGGAACCTTACTTGTCCGGACCAAAGAAATGCTGTCTTGGCGTAGTGTCGTGCGGCCAATGACGATGGGGCAGCCCCTGTAGAGTGGCTCGGGCGCCCCCACGCCCGCCTTTGCTCCTCCTTTCAGCCCTGCCCCTCCCTACCCGGTTTAAGCAGAGCGCTGGTCGCAGTCTGACAGGAACGGGACGGAGCCAAGATGGCGGCGGCCGACGGCGACGACTCGCTTTATCCCATTGCGGTGCTCATAGACGAGCTCCGCAACGAGGATGTTCAGGTCCGGAGGCTACAGGGCTTTGGGGGAAATCGGGGAGGGGGACCGAGGGGCTCCAGTGGTCCTCGCGAAGAGGACTCAGTGTTCGCTGGGAGTGGCGGAAGGGGGCGGTGGCCAATCAGCGTCCAGCTCTCATCTTTCCAGGTCGCCGAACTCGATGAGACTGCGTCCAGGATTGGGTGTTGGCCCAGCGGAGGGCGGGGGCAGGGGAAGCCTGGAGGGTCCCGGGCCTGCCTAGTGCGCGCGGCGGCCCGGGGTCTGGGACCCGGCGGCCGGGGTTGGGAACAGCAGAGGGCTCGGTGATTGGTGGCAGACTCTGAATGGTCCCTTGGAGGATGGGGAAGGCGCGTGACTTGCTCCAAGTGGGGGAGGGGCCGCCTTGTTGGTGGGGACGCGAGTAGGTTTCTTTTAGTTTTTTGAATTTATACATGTGGACCACGTGGGTCTTGAGCCCAAAGCTGCTACACCAGTTTTTGCCCTCCTTCCGCCCCTGCTTTTGCTGTATATACTCTTTTTGAGGAGGAGGACGTGGTAACATTCATTCTCCTCCCGAGGGGAGAACTAGCCAAACGGGTGAAACTCGCTTCTCCCCGACCCCAGCTCAGGGCAGTTTGCTAAGCGCGCTAACATTCTGGTGGATGGGATGGGGTGGTCCTGGGCTCCCGACGGTGCTGGAGCGGGTTGTGAGGAGGTGAGTGCAGGTCCACATCCCACTCGGCCTCTATGACCTTGTGCACGGTACTTCATTGACCTGGGCTTCTGTTTTATATAAAGTATGGGCTAATGATAGCCCCAACTTCTGGGTGAAGTTCACTTGGAGAACTGAGCTAGTAAAATAGAACGGTATCCTGCTTCTTGCAAAGGCCTAATAAATGTTAGCTGTAATTATTAGGAGTGGCAATTGAAGAGGTTTCATCCTCTGTGGAGGCCTCCGTTTCTCACTTTATAAAATTGTGTGGGATGCATTCCTGGGCCCAGCCTACTCAGCTCAGGATATATGACTGGTCAGGTGTCACTTAGGCTGCAGTTTTGCTCCTGGCTCTTCCACTTCTTGCTGGTTGAAGAGGGCAGGTTCCTCTTATCTAAAAAGGCAGTAATTACCTAGTTCATAGGGCTCTTGTAGGAACTCACAATACCTGCCAATGTATCAGGAATGTTGCTGGGAATATAAAGATATCACCAGTTGCTGTGCAGAAGACAGGTATAAAACAGGTACACAACTATAGTATTAATACAAGTAAGTGGTGAGAAGGAAACAAAGGGGATGTTTTGATAGTGAATCAGCAAACAGTTACTGGGCCTCTACCCTGTGCCCTCTTCTAGACACTGATAAATAGCAGGGAACAAGACAGACAAAACTGGTTTTGGGAAATTTAACCTTATAGTGAGCGGAGGCAGACATAATCAAATGTATATTGTACTAAATAGGGGTAAGATTGGGGAGAGAAATGGATTCACTTTTGAAGAGTGGTCAGGGGAGGTGATGATTGAACAAATTTCCAGTGGAGGCCAGAGGAGGAGTCTTGAGACTCTGGGTAGAGCACACAGGAAGTGCAAAGTAGGGTAAGGAAGTGGGCCACTCAGAGAAGGTTATTCTGAGGAGACAGCGTTTGAGATGCCACTGGAAGAAGGGAGAGAAGCTTTTCAGAAAGACAGCATAGACATGTTAAGGCTGTAGTTCTCAAACTGGAGTGATTTTGCCCACCAGGGTTCATTTGGCAATGTCTCGAGATATTTTTGGTTGTCAAAACTGGGGGATTGCTGCTGGCCTTTAGTGGGATAGGCTATTATACATGTTTACAATGCACAGCACAACCCCTCATAGCAAAAAAATTATCCAGCCTAAAAGATCCTTAGTGCTAAGGTTGAGGGAAGCTGTTTTATGGGAAATTCACCTAGAGGCAATAAGGAGCTTGGTTATCTTTGGTCATTGTGTTAGTTTCCTATGGCTGTTGTTACAAATTGCAATTATACTTCATGACATAAAAGAATACAATTTTGTTGTTTTGTGGTTCTGTAAAGCAGAAGCATGTCATGGGTCTCATTGGGCTAAAATCAAGGTGTTGGGAGGGCTGTATTCCTTTGTGGACTTTCTAGTGGAGTCTGTTTCTCTGCCTTTTCTAGTTTTTAGAAGCTACCCCTATTCTTTGGTCAGTAGCTTCTTTCACTTATCTTCAAAGCCAGCAATGTTGCATCTCTTCCCTCGTTGTTCCTAGTGATATCTCCTGACCACAGTCAGGAAGGGTTCTGATTTTAGGGATCTATGGGATTACATTATCCCACTCAGGTAACCCACCATCATCTCCCCATCTCAGGGTCCTTAACCTTGATCACCTCTGCAGAGTCCCTTTTGTAATGTAAGGTAGATGTTCACAGGTTCTGAGCATTAGGACATGGATATCTTGGGTGCCGTCATTCTAGCTGTCATACTTGCTGTGATTTGAATGTACAGGTTGAAGGGGAAACCTGTACCACAGGAGGTTAAGGGTGGTGGTAAAGTGGTTTCTTTTTGTTATAAGTAATTTAACTTTTTGTTCTTTTGTTTTAATTTTATCGCATTAAGGTCAGGAAAGGGAATCTCAACAAATAAATACAAATGGAGTGCCTGTTGTATGCTAGGTATTGATCCAGGTGGTGGGGTCAAGGCAGTGAATCATGGGCAAAAATCTGTGGAGCTCATTTTCTTGCAGCAGAGTGGGTACAATGTAGAGGGCAGTAGGTGGTGATAAGCGCTATGGAAAAAAATAAAGCAAGGCTGGGTTAGGAGAAGTCTGGAGAGTGCTATGTGCCTCAGTTTTAGAAAGGATGGCCAGAGAAGCCTTAGTGAGGTGACATTCTAGCAGAGTAGGGAGCAGGCCCCATGTATATCTAGGGGAAAAGCATCTCCATCAGAGGAAATAGTGTAAAGGTCCTAAGGCAGCAATGTGCAGGGTGTATTCTGGGAACAGGAAGAATACTGTAGGAGCCAAGGGAATGAGCTGCTTATGAGGGGAAATGAACTTTTGAGGAAGCAAGGCCAGATTATGCAAAGACCTGTGAACCATCATTTAAACCAGGGATTGGCAAACAGCTGCCTGGCCCCATGCCTGCCTTGATAAATAAAGTTTTTGTTTTGTTTGTTTTAAAAACTCAGATACACCCATTTGTTTGTGTATTTTCTGTGGCTACTTTTGTACTACAACACAAAAGATGTTCTAGTAGAAATGATCTGGCTCTCAAAGCCCAAAATATTTACTGCCTGGTCCTTTGCTTTAAAAAAAAAAAAATTGCCAACTACTGGTTTTAACCATCTCTGTCAGATTATTGGGCGCTTGCTTTATGAGTTGCTGTACAGAGGCAAAGCTTCTGTGTTCTTATTGAGTTCTCACAGGTTGGAAGTAGGTCCTGTCCTTATCTACATTTTCCAGGTGAGGAAACGTGCATGGTAAAGGTAAATAACTTGATCAAAGCCTTGCATCTGAGAAGTGGAGAAATTAACAAAGAATTGGAAAGAAAGAAGGGCCTGAGGGTAGATTAGAATTTGGGGTGAGACAAACACTTGCTATCCATGTGCCAGGTATTTTGATCTTGTCTTTAATGAGGCCAGTTCAGGATTCTAGAAAGAACATGGGTACAAGTTCCCATAGTCTTGAGGTATTTGGTCAGCGAATATTTATCTAATACCTCCTATGCACAGACTTTGTTTTAGATACGAGGGGATACGGCAGGGAGCAGAACAGTGACGAGGCTGCCTCTGTGGAGTTTGTTTTCTAGTAAGAGGAGACAGATAGTAGATCTATGATGTGATGTCAATGGCAGTGATTACTAAGAATTAAAATTAGGCAGCAACAGGGAATGGAGCAGTCCCAGGGCTGCTGTTTCTGTTTATGGAAGTCTCCCCTGAGGAAGGAATATTGAGTAAGGATCTGAATGAAATGAGGAAAAACAGGTGAGGGAATAGTAGGTTGGACAGAGGGAGCGTTGACTGGAAAGGCCATGAAAGGGGAGTATGTTTCGTGCTATCAAAGTACAGCAAAAAAGGGCTGAGTGAGTGAAGCAGAATAAATGGCAAAGTAGTGGAGGATGCAGGGTTTATTGACCGGGGCTAGGTCTTCAGCAAATTTGGGGCTTAGGGAACCATTGCAAGATTTATAGCAGAAATGTGACATGTTCTAGCAAACAGCTTCCTGGCCTTAATTCCAAAGAATTCCTCTGGCTGTTGAGTAGAGGGTGGCAGGAGCAGGTAGTCTTAATGAGAAACTCAGAGACATTTCTGCTATCCCTTGAACCTTGTCAAAGTGCACACATTGCAGGCCCTCCTACCCCATTGTCAGTCACCAGCTCTTGCCAAACACTAACAGTTTTGAGCACATTCCTCCAGATACTTTCTTCTGCATATACTAAATCGGTATAATCTGTATTTTACAAAACTTACTCCTGTAAATGTTTATTGGGTACTTATTCCTCTGCAGGCCCTGTGCTAGGTTCTTAGGCACAGAGTGAAGAAGACCAAGTACCCTGTCCTGGTGAGGATTGTACTCTAGTGGGGAAGGAAACAGTAAGTGAGCAAGTATGTGGTTGGGGAGTGGTGTGACAGTGCTGTTTAATGTAGGGTTTTGGCATGGTAAGGATTTATCAGAGATCTGAGGAAGAATGAGTGGCTCTGGGGCACTTGTAGAATGTACCAGCTGAGGACACAGCAAGTGCAAAGACTTGGGATGGGACTAGATGTGGGGTTTGGTTTGTTTTTTGGTTACTCTTAAGGAATCCATTGTGACAGCACCCAGGGAGCAAGGGGTGTGGTGAGCAGTAAGAATAGCTCAGTAGGCAGATACCAAGATCATATTGGGCTCTTTAACCCAGAGTAAGACCTCTGGCTTTTATGCTCATTGTGAAGGGATCATACTGGATCATACTGTATCCAGCAAGGCTCCATGGGTTAAATGCAAGGTGAGTCTGGGCAGTGTAGGGGAAGGAGGATGTTATTTATGAAGTCTCTGTGTACTAGGCTGTGTAGGGAGGCC